CATCACCACCTGAGCTCTGCCTCCTGTCAGCACCTCGATCTTAGATTCTCACAGAGCATGCACCCTGCTGTAACCTCTGTGTACAGACAGCCTAGCTTGCACACTCTGGACCAGGGCCTAGTTCTGGTGATCTCATGTGCAGCCGAGGCAGTAGTGCATCGCAGAGTGGCTGCAAGTGTAGGTTAACGTTAGCAAAGTTTTGACTGCATAGAGACTGTAATAAATCAGTTGCTTGCAGACTCATGTCAAAGCACTATCAGTGAGTGGCAAGCGACAATGTACCTCTAGAGGCGGGATGTGTAGTGGTAGGTGAATTGATGTACTCAATTGAACAGCACATCTGGTGGCAAGCTTTAAATCGGAATCTGACACTTATTTTAGTCCATGTGTGCCTTGCCCATTACTATATTTACCCTAGTGTCCACACCGCTCTCTCACACTGTATACTTGTTTTGATTAGTTTTGATAAACTCAAGCTAATGCTAGCTGAAATGAGTAAACAAGAAACATCATCACTTCTTGAGGCTTTTTTTGAAAAGGAAGAAAGAGCCAATGGTGAGACAGCAGAAGACTCTTAAGGCTGCCACCAGAAGAAAGCTGTGTTCACAAAAAATAGTGAGTCCTACTTAAATTATGAGTTGGCTGCAAAAGATGATTCACATTTTCCAAGCCCACTTTGTGTAATGCGTGGTGAGCAGCTAGCCACAAAACCTTCAAAATTGCTTTACTGCATGAAAACCAAACACCGTCCATTCAGAGACAAGTCTTTGGAGTTTTTCTTCTTCTTCTTCTTCTTCTTCTTCTTCTTCTTCTTCTTCTTCTTCTTCTTCTTCTTCTTCCTTCTTCTTCTTCTTCTTCTTCCTCCTCCTCCTCCTCCTCCTCCTCCTCCTCCTCCTTTCTTCTTCGTTTTTCAAAAGAAAGCAATGTCATCATGAACTAAAGTAGTTATTGAAGGCTGTTACTTCATCAGTAATGTTTGCATTGAAAACATCACTCTTAGTGGCTGGCTACCTTATGCTAAAATTAACAAGCCCTTTACTGCTGAGGACTTGACTTTGCCTGCTGCACAGGATATTGTGGTGAACTCTTAGAAGAACTGCAGTTTAGAATGTGGCCTGTATTCCTCTTTTGACTGGCACCATACCTAGATGAATTGATGAAATAGCAGAGGATATTGAGGCAGAGTTGTTAGAAAGGGTTAATGAGTCATCGTGGCACACAATCTAGGTCAATGAGTCTGTGGATGTTGACAAGGCAACAGTGCATTTTTAAAATGCTTGTTTTTATGTGATATATTTTACAGGAGGATGTGCATGAGGATGTGTTATGTGCACTTTTGTTGCCAGCCACCATGACAGCGCCAGAACTGTTCAAGTATTTGAGTGCATATCAGGAAAACTGAAATGTCATTTTCTGTTGGCATATACATGCCTGGATGGCTTTCTAGTTTTACTCTTCTGGTCAGAGAGGTCACTTCTGAATTTATGCACTGTGTCATCCATAAAGAAAACTGGCTAGTCAAAAAATGTTTCTGGAATTTCCATGTTTTGCAGAATGTGATTGAAATTATCAACCACAGTAAAGAACATTCACTTAACTCACAGGTGTTGGCACAGCTCTGTGAACAGATGGATGCAGGGTGCACTCATGTTCTCTTACACAGCGAAGTAAGATCACTGGCTAGAGTTTTGAGTTATAAGAGCTGCTCCAGAGATTGCTTTAGGAAAACTGTCACCCCTGGCAGCACATTGCATTGACACAAAATGGGTCACAAAACTTGGTTAAGCAAACAGTCTGTCAGTTCCATGGAGAATGACAAGTGTGTTCAGGTGTGGCACACAGAGCTCTTGCATTGGAAGCCAAACTAGAATGGAGCAACAAATGAACACTGGGACTTTTGACGTGAGGCTGACATTAGCAGAGCTATTGACCAGTCTCATCCAGGGGCTTCTTTCTCCAGCTGGTGTGTGATCACCTAGCCCAGCTTTCAAGAGTTTAAATATCACTTCTCAATCACTGTGACCCCCACACTGGGAAAGGGTGGATCTGAGATCGTTTGTAAATAAGCAGATGAATCCGTTTTGACCACTAGAAGAGGATCAACTGCTTGATACTGCAATGATGATGACCTTGATGATTTTGAGGACTTCTAGATTAATAGGTTCCCTCTGGCTTGAGCCACATACATGAGAGTCTCTTTGGACAGTTTGTGCCACTTGGTGAGACTGTGCTGAGCTGCCTGAGGGGCAGTCATGCAATACATACCATCAGAGCAGTCTGCCCTGCAATGAACATGTTAAAGTCACTTCCTGAGGTTGCCACAAAAGCACTGAAAAGTTTGCTTCCATTTCCAACATCCTATTTTTGTGAAACGGATGTTTCTGCTGTGATAGCAACCAAAATGACATTATAGACTAGGCTGGTCATAAGCAGCATATTTAAGGGATCACTGATTCCCATTGCCCCAGATGGGGCTGTTTAGCTACAGGAAACTTTGGGTTTTTTTTGTCTGACATCATGACTGTTTTTATGAAAAGCAAATTGAGTGGTCAACTTTCTTCCAAAAATGATTGGAACAAGGTAATTTCTGATTATGGACACCAATCTATAAATCTGTGTGCTATATGACTATTAGTTGTTTATTTCATAATCATCAAATAAAATATTAATTAGGAAAACACTAGTTGCCAATATACTTTTTTTTATCTCAGTAACTATTTGAAGTATACAGAATGATGTTGGCATGGATTGTTGGCTGGAGTAGTGTTGATACTATCTGATAACCATTATTTCCATGTATGTTTACCTTTGTTGTCAGAGACCTTAAAGTTTGTTTTATAATATTTGCTGAGGAAGTAAAGTAGGTGAGAGCCATGTTGTGCTATTGATTTGGTTGGCTAAATGCTCTTTCCATCCAAATCTGGCATTGTTGGAGAGAATTAAACAGTAATTGATCCCATTTTAAAAAATGTTTTTATTATTTTTTGGTTTTTTTGGTACCAGGGATCAAACTTAACAGCATTGTGCTTGCTCGCCAGATAGGCACTTGTGCCATGGAGCTAAACCCTTGGCCAGATCCCATTTGTTTTAAAAGGTGTTTAGATTTGGTTTGTTGTATTGGTATAGTGAAATTAGATTTTTAATTGAGGGAGAAGTATTCTGAACAATGAAATAAATGACTACTTCCAAGAGAAATCTTCCTTTGTATTTGAATGAAGCATTCCTGTTTTATTTTCTTTTTTGTTTTCTAAGGCCAGGCTAACAATCTTCTTGCTTTACAATCTTCTTGCCTTAACCTTGCGAATTCTAGGATTATAGGTTTGTACTGCCGTGCTGGATTGAGCCTTCTTGTGTTCTTAAACGTCAAGGAACTGGATGTGGTTGAGCACATCTGTCATCCCAGCACTCAGGAGGCTGAGGCAGAAGGATTGTCATGAGTTTGAGGCTGGCTTGGGTTACATAGTGAGTTCAAGGCCAGCCTGAATCACAAAGGGAGACCCTGTCTATAAGTAAACAAATTAATTAATAAATAAAGGGTCAGTATAGAATGATTAGTTTTTCAATGTCAGATTTAATGGTCAGACCTGACTTATGTAAATTAGATCATATTTCTAAGTTTCCAGAAAGAAGCATTCATAGTTATTGTCTTGACCAAACAAATTGTTTTACATAAAAAACAATTGTTTAAGCTTTGTATTAAATTTTAACTTATTTAAACAAATGCTGTTATAAACAAAATCTCCATGGAAGCAAATTTTTTGTGAGTGTGGAAAAGAGAGAAACTAATCAGCTTTTTAAGTGGTAGTTATTGATTACTTTGGAAATAATTTCATAATGGGAGCATTTTGTTCTTTATTAAGGACAAAAGAAGAGGTATACGTGAGAAAAGTACAAAATTAATAATTAAGTACAATTAATAGTGATTGGCTGTCTTGTTTTGAAGAGCTACACAATTTTAAGGGAATGTTTACTGCTGTTGCAGTTGTAAATTAAAGGTGTCAAATGGTAATTGTTGTACTTTTACCCCCATCAGGGTAGATAACATTGAGTTTCAAGGTGGTAATCTGCACATTCCTGACCAATCCTAACCCCATGCTTCACTCCCGTGACAACTCTGTGTGTTGGGGGGCTAGGAATATAGCTCAGTGGCGTCAGTACTTGCCTGGCACGTGCAAGGTCCTGAGTTCGCAGAACCAATAAAAACATACACACACACACACAAACAAAAAGAATAAAAATGTGTTATCTTGTTGCCTCAGACTCTCCAAGAGACTAGTGCATTGTGTGACATAATCTGTGCTAGGGAGTTGAGAGGGGTGAAAGTCATAAAGCTAACCCTTAAGTGGTTAGTTTTCTGAGGAGAGTTTGTGTTAGAAGGCAAGGAGCCTTTGAAAGTGCTTAGCACCCGGTGAGCAGAAGAGGCCCAGGCAGGAAAGAACACTCTTAGCAAAGCCCTGCTGTGCTGGGGGGAGGAGCCTGCTAGGGGCCTGGGATGTAGCTCAGTGGCACAGCACCTGCCTGGCAAGTGCCAGGTTGTGACTTTAGTTTCTGGTACAAAGCAACAAAACTGAGCTAGGGTTTGGGAACATTTGACTGTTTCCTGATACAATTTTCCTACTAGTTAATTACTTCTGGAACTCTAGATAATAACTTTTAAATATTTGATTTTTCAACTTCAGATAAAGTCAACTCTTGGGTGTAAAACATATTTTTCCTTATTCATACCATACTACACTGGTTTTTTTTGGTCCTCTTAAAATTAGTACTATTTTTTTATAACTTTCTCACATTATTTATGTTTGTGACTAAATAACACCTGTGTTGTTTGCAGCTTGTGTGTTCCTCCAGAAGATAGATGATATTTAACATGGAATATTAAAGAAGCTATTATGTTGCTGGGCAGGAAAAGGAAAAAAATTGGAAATGATTTGTCTAGGTCCTGTGAGTAAGAAAAGTCTATGCTACTTCTAACGTGAACACTAACATCTTTCTCTTTTTAGGTTGAACAAGTAAAATTACTTGACCGGTTTGGCACCAGCAACAAGGCGTTAACAGGAACACTGTACCTTACGGCCACACATCTGTTATTTATAGACTCTCATCAGAAAGAGACCTGGGTAAGAAGGACTGTAGCAGGCCGGTAGCAATAGTAATGTTTGCTGTACTTTGAGTATTGTCTTTCTCTCTTTGTTTTTTATTGGAGCAAAATACACAACACCCACAATTTAAGGGAGGAATGGTTTGTTTTGACTCAGGGTACAGTTCATGGTCACCTGTCCTTGCAGGACAGTACTGTGGAGGGGCAGAGTGGGGGGAAGCTGTGCATATCATGATGGCGGGGAAGTAGCGGGCAAGTTGAGGGGGGTGCCTGGGAGAGATGAACCCTTGGCAGTGGCTCACCTCTTCCACCCTTAGCAGGAAGTCAGTTGTAAACTCATCTGCAGACTAATCCTCGGGTGATCATCACGTGCCCATGACCCATCACCTCCCAAAACCCCCACCTGTGAGGACATGAGGGTTTGGGGGGCCTCCAGGTATAAACCATAACAAATATGTTTAAATTTTTAATCATCAGTTACCTCAAAAATTTTTCAGTCTCTAATCACTTCTCCCTTTTATAAATCAGTGATATCATGTATAGTAACACCTCAGCTCATGAATGCTTCTTTTCATGAACAATTCATTTGCAACCAAAATTATGGAAAGATTTACATTCATGAACAGAGACACCCTTGTGTAAACATTGCAGTATACATATACATGTGTAAACATCTGGTATGTATATGTACATGATAAATATACACACATTTTCAAATATACATTATATATATGCAAGTATACGCTCAAGTGTACGTGTTTATAAGTATATATACACACACATGTATTCAGTAAACCTTTGACTCTAACACAGAATAATTGGGTTTGAACTGTGCAGGTGTACTTACTGTTTTTTTTTTTTTCTTGGAAATTTACAATTTGAAAAAATTTACCCGATGAGCCATGTAGCTTAGAAATATTGAGTAAACTAAGACAAACTTATATGTTCATAAAATATATATAGATAATAGTCTATCCTTTAATACCATACAGTATAGTCAAATTTACAAAAAGTTAAAATTTATTAAAATAGCACACAAACGCAGGTTGTGCTTGGTAGCATTTGCAGTGTTGTAATTGCACAGCATTTATGTAGTGTGAGCTGTCTGCAGTGATGGTTTTGCAGCTATCCTTGTGCTGCTGTGGTGAGTTCAGGTATTGCCGCTGTCTACTTAAAACCCTGTACGGTGCTGTCTTGTAGGATCCACGATTTCATGCCGACTTGTTGATTTCAGAGAAGCTATCCTTTTAAATATTTTTGGTCACTAGATTTTTTTCCTAATAGAATTTGTCTTTTATTGAGTTTGTATGTTCTGGATTTAATGTTTTGTTATCTGTGTCATCATTGCTTCTCTCAGTGTGTAGCTTATCTTTTGTGTATTTTTGTGTATATGCCTTTTATTTAAATTTAACTTTTTAAGATTTTTCTTTTTTTTCTTTTGGTTATTTTGGGACAGGGTCTCATTATGTATTAGTGTAGGCTGACCTTGAACTCACGTAGCCCAGGCTGGCCTCAGACTCATGGTGATTCTCTTGCTTCAACCTCCTGAGTACTGGAATTACAAGTGTGTACCTCTAAACCTGGCGTAAATTTTTAATAACGTAGATTTTTCACTTCTTTTATGGCTAGTGCTCTTTTGTGATTTAAGAAATTCTTTTATGGCTAGTGCTCTTTTGTGATTTAAGAAATAAATGTTCTGTATTTTCTCTCAAAGCTTAAGTTTTGTCCTCCACATATAAGTTGTAAATACATTGGGGAGCTGTTTTGGTATACACTGTGACATAGAGACCCAGCTTTATTTTTTCATATGGACATGCAGCACCATTTATTGACTGTTTTAGTCCGTTGGTCTTTAGAGTCAGCTTTGTCATAAATAAGTCTTCTGTGTACGAGCAGCTCTATCTTTGAGCTCTCCGTTCTCTTCTTTTGGTGTGTTGACCGTACTGTACCGTACCACATTGTTTTATTGACTTTTAGGAAGTCTTAATACCTAGTAAAGTAAATCCTCTCAACTCATTGTTGAGAATTGTTGTAACTGTTTTGTGCTCTTTGTTCTTCACTGATTCATTTAGCATACATTTATTGAGCACTGACTGTATATATTCATACCATTCTAGGCATCTTTTGGAAATAAAAGCCAGTGATAACAGGCATTCTGTCTCATGGTGGAGAAAGACAGTGCATAAGATGCATGATGAGTACTCAGCAGAAAAACAGGAAAGTGGGGCAGAATGTGCAGTGTGTGTCCATAGGTTTAGGAGACAGAGACTTTTAAGCATGTTTCTTTGCTGCCCTGCCCAAGCCACATTTTGTAATCTCTGTTTTACAGATGAAGTTGAATTAAAGGGAGGTGATAGTTTCTTTAGTGTCACACAGGTAGAAAAAAATAATAAGAGGAGCTTACACGGAGCAGCCAGGTAGCTTGGGTTAGTGCCAGTTCTGCTGCTTCTGCCCTGAGTGAGAATATGGCTGGTACTGGTAACAAACCTCCCAAAGCAGGAGCAGGGTGGGCTTCCTTAGAACCTGCCTCCCTTTTAGCAGGGAGAGGAGATTCTCCCACATTGTCCACTGTTGATTTCCCCAAACGTTTGATTCTTTGGAAACTGGAGCACTTGGAACCTTTAAGGGAGGCAGGGAACACAGATTTTGGACAGCTTTGATCTCTTGAGGGAGATGAATGTTGCCCGTAAGGAAGATGGAGAGGATGGCAAACCCACAGTGCCTGTGCCGACTGTAACTTTGAGCTTAGTATCTCCGCAAGATGGGGATAGCGTCTGTCTTGGTGTAGGGTTCTGTGATTCTTAAGTGAGAGAAAATAGGAACAGCAGCTAGGTCTGAAGCACAATGGTGGCTCAGTGCATCATAGCTGCTCTCACTTTTTCTAAGCTGTAGATTTGAGAGTAGAGTATCCACATTGCTCAGGAGTCCACTGCTTTTGGCACATGTTTCCTTCTTCTTTGTACTCTTTGAGTTCCCCCAGACGTCCATCTGGTTGACATGTGATCATATTAAGGAAATCCAGGTGCTCAGCAAGAGGCTGACCTTGCATAAGTTGTATCCCTTAGAGACACTGGGTGCCTTCCCTACCCAGGGCTGGAGCTTTACTGAATAGTGCCTTGTGAAACCATACTTGTATCATCATTCACTCTGCATACCCTTTCTTTGTCTACTGCCTTAATATCTCCTCTGTGTGTTTTCCATCTCCTGGAGACATGTATGAAATAGCAATGTACCATTCCTTCAGCAAAAGGGCTAGGTTATTGCTTCAAATTCCTTAGAGATTGAGAGCAGAATTGGAGAGAGAGCAGCTAGAGGTGTCTGTGTCATTTTCTCTTACTTTGTCTTTACAGTGCTTTCTCAGTAGTACATTCCCTTATTTTCTCCTGCATTAAGTCTGTGTAGTGTGCTAAACCATAGCAGTAACATTTTAATCTTAGAAGGAGCGTTATCCACCTGTTGTCGCATTTTACAGACTGTGTATCAGGATTACATAAACTAGGTAGAGACAGAGCCAGATCCCTTCATCATTCTTTTGCAAATAGTTTTGGATTTTATTTGGAATCAGAATAGTCATGGGCCACTAGTTATTTATTAACGCTTACTCTCTATTTAGAGAGCACTCTTGATCTTTTTGAGTAAATTAACACAGGCTGTCTCAACTTAAGAGTAACAGTGCTGATTTTTAGCCATGCAAAGGGACTACATGTATGTATGTGTTGTATTGTTTTAATTTTTACAGAATAAATTCTCTATAGTTCTTTCTCAAGCTTTTTGATTATTTGTATGCATTTTATCTTGAATGTGAACTTTATCATATGTAACAATAATATTAGCATATAATAATGCAGTATGTGTATATTGTATAGTAATCATCCTTTACTGTGCTACAAAAAATAAGAGTAGTATTGAAAAAAGTAGACTTTGTAGAATAGCAAAATAGGAGATGGGAATGATAATCAGGTCAGTATTGAGTTCATTGAAGGAATTTTTATTCATTTACTTGGTAAGCATTCTGTGGACAGAGGGATAAGGGCTGTTGCCTGTATTTGTGGCTAGAGGCATGCAGTCATTTTATTTTATTTTTGTCTTTTTCCTTTTTATTGGTACTGGGGATCGAACTCATGACTGCCTGCTTGCAAGGCAGGTGCTTATGCCGCTGAGCTAAATCCCCAGCCACATGCAGTCATTTTATGTTTGAAGCTTAGCATGTAATATTTGAGACAGTATTTGAGGGAGACATTCCTAACATTTATGCATTCTGAGAGATAATATTTAGTGCTTTTTGTATTGACAACTTGAAATTTTTTCGTGCTGTAGATACTGCACCACCATATTGCCTCAGTAGAGAAACTTCCTTTGACCACTTCTGGATGCCCTCTCTTGATTCAGTGCAAGAACTTCAGGACTGTTCATTTCATTGTTCCCAGAGAAAGAGATTGTCATGATATTTATAACTCTCTGCTGCAGCTGTCGAAACAAGGTATTGTTTTCAGAGACCAAAGTTTACATGCTCACTTTAAGATGATTTATCCAGGGTACTTTAATGTCTTGTTATTTTGTACTTTAGGTTATGTGGTCAGGCTCTTGTGCATTCAACTGTGCCTTCCTACCCCCACCACTATGGCCTCCAAATATTAGAGACAATTGATTTGAATTGAATGGTGTCCCAAGCAAAGCATTTACAGTGTAGACTGAAGCATCATATAGTTTAAAAATCCCCTAATAGCAAGGAGCACATTATATTCCATCAACATGGGGACTGACTTGGAAAATGATATTACTAAGTGGCAAGATAAGAAAGATCAAGTTCCTCTGGTAGTAATGGTGATAAAATATTTAGTGGATTAGAGTGGGACAGAAGGCAGATGAAGGGACCCAGAGAGAGTGTCTCCTATTTTAGTAGAGGTGTGGTTAAGAAAAGAATATAATGTAGGCCCTAAAGAGACACTTTCTCATTGCTTTTACCTTGGAGATCTGGAGACCCTTTTTCCTCCAACATGACTTCAATTACATGTTAAGCTGAGTTTCAGTTGAGCAGCCTGTGTACGTGGCCTTAGGAGCAGGTGTCTGTTCACTCTTCCCTTCCAGCGGGTAGAGACTGTCCACAGCATTCTCTTCTCCCAGGTTAAGCCAGAGCATATAGTAAAGGGTTACCCTTCAGAAGTAAGCGTGCTCCTGAGGTTGGTTGCTGGCCTGCAGGGCTATGTAAGGCAGTTTCGTGTGCTCTGTGTTATCTCTAGTTTTTCATTATGGCATTGTTCTTTCCAGTTTACATGCCAGTTGGGAAAAGTGGTACATCAGAAGCATCTATTTGTATTTTTATAATTTGACTTTTAAGAAAATATTACAATAGAGAATTTGAAATGTAAGTCTAACTGTATTCTTTATTAGCTTAACTTTTGCTAATGACAGATTGAATCTCAGATTTGTATGTGTGCTTTCAGATAAAATCATTTGCATCACAGAATTTAGAAAATATTAAGTTCAAGTACAGTATGTTCACATACTAGCTAGCTGTAGAAATTTCAAAGAAAAAATTGAAAAATTAATTTATGGTATGTTAAGTCTTATAGATTGCATTTGAATGTTTTCATGTGTTGTATTTTATAGCAAAATATGAAGATCTCTATGCGTTCTCATATAATCCCAAACAAAATGATTCAGAGCGGCTCCAAGGTTGGCAGCTCATTGACCTTGCTGAGGAATATAAGAGAATGGGAGTGCCAAATTCAAACTGGCAGTTGTCTGATGCCAACCGAGATTACAAGGTAATTTAGCCACCTTTTGGGAAAATTCAGAAAATTTAGTATGAAGGGGGCAGAGTGTCGTAGCTGCAGTTTCCCTGTGTATTGTAATACACTGTTCTTTGCTCTTAATAAGTTGAAACTTCTTTAAAGGTGAATTTTAATCTGGTGGCTTTTGACCTGTGACAAAGGAGTCATGTTTTGATATTTACAGATTTGTGAAACTTATCCTAGAGAACTTTATGTTCCCTGGATAGCAAGCAATATAATTGTTGGCAGTTCCAAGTTTCGGAGCAAGGGAAGATTCCCAGTTCTTTGTTACTATCATCAAGAAAAGGAGGTAGGAATCTTCTCTTCTGATTTTTGTTAACATAACTCCTTTTTAGTTTAAGAACCCAGAAGAATACTAACTTTTACTTTATAATGTCATTACTATAATGTTAATAGAAATGTGCTGGACAGAAAATTGATACTCAGTGACCAACCTACTAGAAATAAGAAAGTAGATGTGAAAAGAATTTAATAAAACAGTTGTTTCCTCCTGCTATTTGAAATTTTCGTGGTTTTATCTAGGAATTTAAATGTACAAAATATGTATTTATATTTACTTTCTTCTCCCTTAATGAAATTATGTTTGGGTGAATGTTAAGTTGGAGTATGTTAAGTATGAGTCTAAAGGCTTTTAGTCATTTTTAGGATTTTAAATACCTAATGTTTGCTACTTATAAATATTCTCACCCTTTTAGATTGACTGTATTTTAATCCGATTTTGAAGTGAAGCTTATGTTTTCCCATTTTTAATCTCATTTTATATAAAACTTACTGAATTCTAATTAGAAACCTGAAAGCATTTCAAAAGTAAAAGTTCAACTATTACTGTTTTAGAAAGTCCTGTTCTACAGGAATTAACTTTTTTATTCAATTCGAGCTGAAAGTATCCCACAATCCAAGTAGAGCACAAGATGTAAGTATCTTAATGTAGGTTACCTGAGAGAACTGACCTGGTGCTGCTGCCTAAAAATCCAAGTATGTTCTCTGAGAGGGAGGCGTGGTCCTGGGGACTGGACAGAGACTTTGCCCTGGGCTGCATCCTCACTTCTCACTTTTGTTTTTTTAAAGTTTGAGACAGTGTGGTGTTAAATTGTTCAGGATGAGCTCAAATTTGTGATCCTCCTGCCTCAGCATAAAGTGCTAGGATTATAGGGATTAACCACTGTACCCAGCTCGTAAGTTTGTTCTTTTGGTTTTTATTTGTTTTTTTCATCCAACTAGTTAAGGAGGCATTTAGTTTTTTTGGGAGACTAAAGAATATTGGGAAAACTTAGGGAGCAACAGGGTATCAAAATAGTACTTACTTCACATAGGATTTCCAAGTGAATGCCTTCTAATTGTCTTCCTAACTTAAAAAGATTGCGTATTTGATTTTACCACTTCTTAGTTTTTTTTGAGCATATTTTTGAGACCTATTTTTCATAATCTGTTTTCTGTATTTTTAAAATCAGGCTGCCATTTGTCGATGTAGTCAGCCACTGTCAGGATTCAGTGCCAGATGCGTGGAGGATGAGAATTTGCTTCAAGCCATCAGTAAAGCCAATCCAGCCAATTGCTCCATGTATGTTGTAGACACCAGGCCCAAAGTAGGTATCCTCAATACACTGGATTCTGTTATCTTTAATTAACCAGTCTTCTCATATTTAAAGTATCTGAAATCTGGTTTTAAATTAATCATGGCTAATCATACAAAGGAAATATTCTTTAAAGCACAGTGATTTAGAAGACCATTTCTCTGACTCAAGTGGTGATGAATGTCTGTGTCCAATGGTGCCTTGATCATGAACTTAATTTTTCCCATGATTCTGATTGCAGACTGATTTGGTTATGAACCAAATCCAATTCAGTGGTTAGGCTCAGTGTTGAACTTATGGGGAAATTCCATGCAGTTTGCAACCAGAATATTGGAAAGAATTAAGCTCATGAGCTGAGGTACCACTCTGTTAGAAAAGCTGTTGGAATTCTTGATGGTATATTAAAAGTCTTGTGTTATTGGGAAGAAATACCAGTGTGTGTGTGTGTGTGTGTGTGTGTGTGTGTGTGTGTGTGTGTGTGTGGTGTGAATAGAAATTCTTACTACTCTTCAAAAAATTTCTAATTAGCTATTTTGTGTTAAAATAATGGATGTTAACTTGAAATGTTCAGCAAGGTAGAACAATTCCTTAATTTAGAAAACCTGAACTAGAGACTTAAAGTGAGCAAGAAATGGTTGTTTTGTTAGGCATTTATGGTCTAAATATTAATTTTCATCGAGGCAAGAATGATTCCTGTTTCCTTTTAATGAGCAAAGTTAAACAGCTAATTCATATAGGACCCTGAAAATAAGGTAGTTAAAATATTCAATGGTAATAGCTAACTTTACTTTTAATTTTTATTGTAGCATCGAATGCAGAGCTGGTGGGCTACACAAAAGGACATTGGCAGAATTATAGTGAGGATTTCTTCAAAAATCTGGAATGATGAGAAAATAAGAGAAAGCGATGAGAAAAAGCGAGTGAGCAATACAGAACACAGCAATTTTAGGCAGCTTTGTGGAGGGATTGGTCACTGCTTTAGAGTAATTCTTACCATTCACAACCTCCCAGGGACAATGGAGAATACAGTTAGATTAATTTGAGTAATTAGAAAGTGTTAAAATAATTGATATTTTTGATTTTGTTAAAAATAGACTTTCTTAGGAGTTCAGAGTGTAATGGCTCCTATTTCTTTGTGTAAGCTGGATTGATTAATTGGTTAGAATTCTTTTTTAGGTAATACTAGAAATAAAAGGCAATTATAAGACTTCCTGAAGGTGAGATCTGACTCTGATTTGTGTCTCAAGATCTAAAATCTTTTATTTATACAGTTGTCTTCTAACAGAAAAATACATCCTTCTCTGATTGCTTTGCCAGTTAACTTAAATGTCAAGTAGTAGGAACAGGGAAGTCTTTGGTATCTTACTGTAGTCCTCGTAGGTGCTGAATAACGAGTGACTCAGCAGATGCAGGTTAACTGTGCCCTCAGCCCACTGAGCCAGAAGATAAGATCCTGTTTTCTTGCAGTTTATACGCCCTTCATCCAGAACTGTTACAGAAGAGTATCTAGTAATTGTAGTCCTGTGCCTCTTGAAATCCTAGTCTGCGAGGAGTGACTGTGTCGAATCCTAAATTCATCTCTGATAACATTGGATCTAAGAACCCAGGGTAATAGGCCCATGGGCAATGTTTTCTCCTTGGAGACCAGTTTATTTAGGGCCCAGTGCTTGAAGATAAATAGCAGGTGACACGCTGTGTCATGTGGTTTGTGAATCTTAAATAATCTCTATCAAGGAGGACCTCAGGTTCGTTCAGATCTCAGTTTTAGGGTCCCTGTGGCTTGTCAGTGATCATGCGCTCCACGTTTGTTCTGAAGTGAAGCTTACAGTTTCATTGGAGAAAAGAAAATTTCTGCTGGTGTGCATGGTGGCATGTGCATGTAATCCTAGCACTCTGGAGGCTGAGGCAAGAGGATCATTGTGAGTTTGAGGCCATCCTGAACTACATAGCAAGACCCTGTCTCAAAACACCAAAAAGAAATAAAAAGCTCTGCTCATTTCTGAATCATTTAGGATTCAGATAGAATACACTTTTTAAAAAATTTTTTAAATACTGTCTTATCTACATGTAGAAAACTGACTAAAAACATAAATGAATTTGCTTCATGAATCTGTGGGATCTTTATCTAGGTGTTTCCTTTATATAGCAGTTTGTCACTTTATTAGTATCATGTCCTTTTTTTTTTTTTTTTTGGAACCAGGAGTTCAACTCAAGACTGTACGCTTGCCAGACAGGGACTGTGCCACTGACTGTATCCCTGGCCCGTCATTTATTGTTAACAATGTGTGACACCTGTTATTTGACTATTAATAATTTATGACAGTTTATTTGGGTTTGAGATTTCCTTTACATTCTCTCCTAACTAAAATATGCTTATGTAGTGTTTTTATGAAATTTTAGTAAGTTAATTTAAAAGATAAAAGTACTGAGTCTTTAATTTCTAAAATTTTTAATTTCAGTTGAATGCTATGGCTAACAGAGCAGCAGGAAAAGGTTATGAAAATGAAGATAACTATTCTAATATTAGATTTCAGTTTGTTGGAATAGAAAATATTCATGTTATGAGGTCCAGCCTTCAGAAATTATTGGAAGGTATGATTTTGCTTACTTTTTAGGCAGCTTTATCTGATGGAAACATAATGCTAGTTACATATAATTTAATTTAAAATTTTCTGGTAGTCACATTTTTAAAAGTAAAAACATGTAGTCAAGAAAAAATTGATATTGAGGTATTTTGCTTTTCATCAAATCTTAGAAATCAGTTGTGTATTTCATACTTACAATACATCTCACTTTGACCTGGCCACATTGCAAGTGTTCAAGAGCTGCCTTTAGGTAACGGCTACTGCATTAGTACTACCCTAATGCTTTTGTAAAACATTAAAGCTGTTGGAGATTAGGGAGTAGCCAATGCATTGAAGATTAATTTATAATACTCTCCTATTTAAATATTAAGGTACTCTTCCACTCATAATATAAAGTTCTAAAATATGACTATTTTAAACATGTGTGCTACAGTTTTTCAGAGCGATTAGAGTTTCTCTTAAAGAAAAATGCATCAAAAAATTGGTTGTTGTGTTTCTGTAATAGCAGCTTTTCATTTGTAAACAGTCTGCCCTTTTTTATCCTCCTGTTTCTCAATTCACTTATCATGATAGATACTGTAAAGAGGAGTAGAGACTCTGGCCCCATTCTGATGAAACTTTCTTCCTTTTTCTAGTCAATGGTACTAAGGGGCTTTGTGTTAACGATTTCTACTCTGGTTTGGAGAGTTCAGGATGGCTTCGCCACATCAAAGCTGTGATGGATGCTGCGATCTTCCTAGCCAGGGTAACGTGCTCACGCTCTCTCTCTCTCTCTCTCTCTCTCTCTCTCTCTCTCTCTCTCGCTCATATTTGGTTTTGGGTTCGTAATGGTTGGGTTGGAGTGGGTTTATCCTTTTGGGCATGGATATCCATTCTGTGCAGATAAGCTTTATTATTCTATACCTCTTTAATAAGGTTTACTTTAATTTGACCTTTAAAAATATACAGCAGTAATCAAAATGTTACATGCCTGTACTTTGTTACATAAAGAAGTATTTGAAGTGATGTACGTGCCAGCTACCTTAAGTTGATCACAACATATTGTACACACGTGTTTAAATTCCACCATACTTCATAAATATGTATAATTGTTATCCATCATTTGAAAATTATTTCAAAAAAAATTCCTGCAGCAACTGGCCTGTCTTCACATTTTTCATGGCAAAAACAATCTCACTCTGATCTCACTGGTCTCACTCTGAAAAAATGTATTTGTACATTTGATGTAGAAACTTAGAAATGCCCGAATATTTTGGAGTATTTTTTACTTTATTTTTGTGTTTGCTGGATTGTAGTTGTTGCTTTCAGATATGCTATGGTAACATAATTGTTGCAGAAATAGCTCTGTATAATGTAGTTCTTGCTATTGTGATTTCCAAGTAAAGAGACTCATTGGTTTACGTAAAATTTGTCCTGCCAGAATCTAAGCATGTGGTCTTGCTTTTCAGGCAGTAACGGTTGAGAGTGCAAGTGTACTGGTGCATTGTTCTGATGGGTGGGATAGGACCTCCCAGGTTTGTTCCCTCGGTTCGCTTTTGCTGGATTCGTACTACAGGACAGTCAAAGGATTCATGGTAAGGGTTTATTCAGCTCACCCAGTGGTTCTCAAATATCAGTGATTCTGTCCTCCCAGGGGCCCTTGTGATACTAAGAGACAGTGAGGCAGCTGGCATGTGGCTTGGCGGAGCCAGCAATACTGCTGTGCATCTTCAGTTAGGCAGTAAAACAAGGCACACATACTTACAAATGACATCCTGGAAGGGACTTCCACTGAAGACACCTTCATTTGCCAAATGTGTAACGTGGTAAGCATGTTCTATACAGGAAGATTAAATTTCTAATTGAAAGATTTTCTACGTTTTGAAGATAAAAGTCCTGGCTTCGGTTCATTTGTTTTTCACCCTATGATCAGATTAATTTTCAGGTTTTATATTTTAACTCTTGGTGAGTAAATGAAGGCATATTAGAAAGGTTTTGTGTTTATATTTTTAAATACAGTACCATTTCAAGACAAGAGTTAAAATCACCAACCCCTTTTTAGCACTTTTATTTTGTGCTACTGTTGAATCTGCAATAGGCTAAATAGAGGTAAAAAAATTATAAGAATACAATACTAGTAAGAAAATAATGTTCATAAAATAAAACATTTCCATTTACGCCCTTTTCCTCCCTTTGTGGTGCTGACAGTTGAATGTTTATCTGGGAGTTGTCAGGTAGTGGGTATTTTCTTTACCTTCTTTGCCAGGCCACCAAATGAAATGAAATAATAAATGACCATGCATGAAGAACTTCCTAGGGGGCAGGAGCACACTAAATTGAGCCTCTGTAGGTTCCTGCAGGTGATGTGTGAGGGCTGGGTTTGGTGAATGTGAGAAGGGGCCAAGAGGCCAGTGTGGAGGAGTGTGGGGGCTGAGGTCCTGGGGTGAAAGGCTGGGACTGGCCCTCCCCCTCTTTAGGCAGTGAGAGCTGTTAAAAAGTTTTAAAAAGAAGAAATAGTAGCTTGATAGCTGCTGTTTAAAAAGATTGCTTGCCAAAATATAAACTAAAGAGTAAAATAAAAGGTAGTAGGAAACAAGGAGATAGATCTGCAGAAAGGAAAGGGACGGAGCAATGGGGAGAGGAGAGAGGGCAAGAATTCAGATGTGTTATGCATTGTGGCAACTCCCATGCACATGCTAATAACAATTAGGAGAGTGAGAATTGGTCACAGTAGGTGTGGCCTAGAGGAGAGGGTCTCCTCCGGGAGGATTTCCAGGTTCCTAAATTCGTCTCCTGGATAGAAGACACTGCCTTCCTGCTCTGCACTGACCTGAGCAGAGACACAGTTTTCTTGAGAAAGATGCAAGTTAGGATTTAGACATTGGTGTGTAGAAGAATGGGGAGGACCCAGAACCAAGTGTGCAGCTGCAGCCTGAAGATCACTTTCCTGAGGTCACACAGGGCAGAAGTAGTGAAGCCAGGCTTGCAGCCTCTGGGTGTACCCAGAAGCTGCACACTCACTGTCGGGGCTTATGGCACTTTGCTCACCTCAGAGAGATTTAACCCAAAATCAGAGGTCAGGCTGATCATCTCGGCACCAGGAAAACAGTGTGCTCATTTAATGAAATTAAAGGTATATTAAATACTAGTAGATACATTTTGCTTAGACTTGAAAACATTACAAATTTGTTATTTCACTGGAGTTGGTAAGTAGAGAACCTGTGACAGAGACAAAGATAATCGAGATGAATATCAACATTTGGATTTCAGTATAGACTCGTTGTCATTGGTGTTTCTGTCATTGATTTTTTTCCCCAAAAAAGCTCTACATGAGCATGGTACATATAAGCCAAAAGATTTAAAATGTTCAGTCTTCTAAGTGAATTATTGTTAGCATTTTGGCTTGCATTTTCTTAGCATTTTGTGTGTCACATGTGTGCAAACAGATATGGAAGTGCAGTCCTGCTTTGTCACACACACATTTCCCTTTCAGTGTGGTATAACTGACATACTTTGTCGTGAGACTTCTATTTTTATGTATTGTCACTCTCTTTAAGCCTCACCTCTAATCCCAGGTTTTGGCTATCCTTTGCCTGCAGTTTATTTTGGGAGTGGTATTCTGCTTGGTAAAAGAAATCAAGTGTATAAATACTATTTTTAAGCTAATAGAATTGAATCCAGTCTAATAAAATGTTGAAAAGTGGGTTTTACTTTTTTTCATTAAGGTTTTAATAGAAAAAGATTGGATCTCATTTGGACATAAGTTTTCAGAGAGGTGAGTGTCAGTTATACATTTATGACTTTAATAAGATTAGAGTGCCCAATTTTTCTGTTCTCTGAACTCATGTGACTCAGGTGTGTGTGCTATGATTTTGTGCTGTATTATATATGAGATTTAAGATTCTGTCATTTCTTTCAGTTCTAATACCTTCGTTAGTTTTTGAGGCTAATTATTACCTTTTTTCTCTATTGTAATATTTAGAAGGCAACAGATCTTTTAAAATTAAATTTGCAAAATGCATAGCTATACATGACTACAATAAAGAAATGCTGTTTTTTTAAATGCAAATGTAATTAATATTATTTTTTGTATGTATGTTTAAGTTTATTATTGCCTACACAATGGAGTTCTTTTAGAGCATTTTTAAAAACTGGTGTTTTCTGGGTGGTTAGGTGTGGCCATTTGGATGGTGACCCAAAAGAAGTCTCACCAGTATTTACCCAGTTCTTGGAATGTGTGTGGCATTTAATGGAGCAGTTTCCACAAGCCTTTGAATTCAGTGAAGCGTTTCTTCTTCAGATCCACGAACATGTTCATTCATGCCAATTTGGAAACTTCCTTGGAAACTGTGAGAAGGAAAGAGAAGAACTTAAGTAAGATGATTTGATGAGAGTGGGTTCTCCTTCTTGCAGCCATAAATCAGGGTTGATGTAATAGGATGTCTTGACAATAGAAAGTAGAACTGAGCTGGTTTTCGATCTTACCATCTGTATTTCTGAATCATACCCTACCCCTCAGGTGAATATTAAGAACACATTTTACATGTATCTTGAAGAAAATGCTTGTAGCCTAAGTACGCAGCTCATTAAATCTTACTAACACCTGTGTAACCTGCGTCCCGGACAAGCATTGCCAGCAAACTGGACACTTTCTGTGCTCCTTTTCAGGGTTAATAGCTTTCAGATTTAATTTTCAGACAGAGAAAGCTATGTATTATTTTGTTTCCTAGAACTGATCACTATTTTTAAAGTGTGGTAAAGGTTTAAAACTGTCAGTTTGTTTTGGGGTGAGGTGGAGCATTGTAGCTCTTCTCCTTTTCCTTAACAGACAGTTGTTGGGGGAAATAAGTGTGCATACACTGGCTGCAGTGGGGCGGTATGTGAGACCCTGATTCACCTGTACTGTTATAACCTGTCTCAAGGGGTAGGGGTTTTTAGCTAAATTTTGATGCAGCAGATTTCTGGGGTAAGACTGAAAGATCCTGTGCACATTGTTAAGTTTGGCTTCTGAATTTAGCTTCTTACAGTAGCAGTAGACAGCAGTTTAAGGGTCTTGATCATCCAAAGGGTGTATAGAGTACCGACCTCTTGCAGCAGTTTGCAGACAGCCATACATTTACTCCTGGCAGTGCAGGACTGAGAGCACCGGGAGAGTTCTGAGGGAAGTAAAGGAAGCAGAACTGAGTAGAGCGTGGCAGAGGTGAACACAGCTAAATGCCAAGCCGTCAGCTTTGCGCTGCGTCATTCGCAGTGGTGTATCATGGTTTAGTGCAGGCAGCTTTGCTTGGAGTTTCTTGGAGCCATTTTAGGGAAGTGTCCTAAAGATGGGAGAAGTCCTTAAAAATGGAGTGGGTGTTTCCTAGCAGTCTTTCTCTAAGAGCACACTTCTGTGGAGTCATGGGAAAAGGAGATTGTTCACTTTCCCCTAGCTCCCAGTGTCTGTTGTTCATGTGGAATATACCTCCACCACCACTCTGCGCTTTCCCACCAGGCCTTAGATTTGCAATGTAACTGGCATAATGTCTTCATGTTTGCCCATTTCCCTTGAAATTTTCATATGTAGTTGTGGCCCTGCCTATGATATTTGTCACCACAGTGCAGATATGAGGTGAACAGATTAAGGCCTAGCAGAGCGACATTTGTCTGAGGCTCTACATTTATATAAGTGGAGATTTTAAATAGGTGAGAGAGCCAAGTTTTTGAAATCATATGGAATGAGAAAAATGCCTTAAATGTACAGTTATAGGAAAAATGTCATACTTGTGTTTCATTCAAGACACATGGCTTTATTATGTGACAAGAGGTTAGACAGTGAATGAAGAAAGACTAAAACCTGATCTACTTTGGAAACAATTGCCTGATTGATAACAATTAGGGTTGGCAGTAACACTTTATGTCTCCCTCAGAGATTTGTGTGTGTTTCTCATTGCTCTAAGGTTGAAGGAGAAGACTTACTCCCTGTGGTCATTTCTGTTGGATGATCAAAAGAAGTACTTGAATCCTCTCTACAGTCCCAAAGCTGAAAGGTTTACAGTTTTGGAGCCAAATACGGTATCTTTCAATTTTAAGTAAGTTGGTATCGTTAAGAAGTTAATATCTTACCTTTCTCAAGCACAATTGAAAAGTTAATTCTGAGCTGACAGTGGTAATGGATACCTGTGTAATACTAGCACTGTTGGAAGATGAGGCAGGAGGGTTGCAAATTCAAGCCCAGCTGGACAGTTTGGTAATTTAGTGAAATACTGTCTCAGAATTTAAAAAGCAGATAAGGGTAAGGATGTAGCCCAGTGCGGGGTGGGAGTTGTTCAGTCGCTAGGACTGTTATACCCTTCTTGCTTTAATTGAACATATTTATGGGATACAGCGTGAGAATTCAATACATGTGTATAATGATAAAATGAGGCAGTATTAGTCTTCCAATTTAAAAAGAATGTACTAACACGTACTTTTATGTACTTATGAGCTATAATGTGGTATTTCAGTACTTACATACAGTGTGTGCTATCAAATCAATAATGAATGTTTCCATCTCGTGTTTGAAGCCTTTGAGCTTCTCTAGTGATTAGTAAAATACAGAAACGGTTTTTATAAACTTCACTTACCCACTGTACTGTAAAACACTAGTGCTGATTGCTTCCGTCTGTGTTGTGGTGAAAGCTTTTCTTCTGTCATAAAGGTTTTGGAGAAACATGTACCACCAGTTTGATCGAACATTGCACCCTCGGCAGTCAGTATTCAATATAATCATGCATATGAATGAGCAAAATAAACAGTTAGAGGAAGACATTAAGGACCTGGAATCTGTAAGTATCCTGATCGCAGTAACTATTGCAGTATAGTTGGGATATCAGATCAGTTTAATTTTGTGTATTTAAGTTGCTTTCAGCTTTGCATTCCTTTGATAATGAAGTTGAATGGGTTTTCATGTTTGTTAGTTTTCCTTTTTTTTAAATAAATTTTATTTAAAGAAAGACTAAACAAAACAGAAAACAGGTAGAAATAATACATTCTTTCAAAGAAAAAAATAAAACAGGGAGAAATCACTAGTTGATGCTTACAGACTGTCTTCTTACAAATATTTATTCAAGATACTAAAGTGGAGCATATAAAGTGGGGATTCAAACAGTGAGACTGCAACCAGCTCTGTTCAACTATCCATCAAAAACTTAGAAATATGGTTATCAATCCTATACACTTAAACATACATGCAGTTATCCATATCTTCAATTATGTTGAGATTGAATAAACCCAAGCAGGCTAATATCACTCTGAACAAAGAATAATACTATTGCTGGGTTTCACATTATGACCCTCCAAGAAAGCACTGGGTACTTTAGTGTCTCTTTTTCTTCAACATATCTGTTCATTTCATCATGTGTTATAAGATCAGTTCTCATAAACTGTTTATAGATTGTACACATGCATGAATCTTAACATGTATTTCTATCCTTTCTATAGTAGAGGGAGAAACAAAACAAAACAAATTCCTATAAACACATGAAACAAAAAAGACATATAAGACCCTTGTACAAGGAGTTCTACCGTAGTTCCTGTGTTGTCTCTTGTTATCTTCAATAGAATTGGCTATATCATCAGACATGGTATAATTGAATATATCAGTACATAACAGTATTAGTAAAAACACAATGTTGTATATAGTATAAAACTTCAAAAACAGGTAGTTATCACACCAGAATGTGTATTGTAGAGTCTTGTCATCTTCAGGGTAGTTGCCTATATTCTCAGACTTGATACTGTCAATCATACCAATTTTGAATAAAATCTGTTGAAACCGAACAGCAATCAAACAAACCAGATTTAACTAAGAGCAGTCATGATAAAACAGTATAAGTCATACAGGGCTCCAGACTAAGTTAATAGGAAATTAAAGATGATTACCGTGCTATATCCTTATGTTTTTGGGATAGCTGTCTGTGCCCTCAAATCTAATGCAAGTAGACTAATGGGGCAGAATAAAATCTATCTAAGCAGAGTGGTATGAGTAATGTGGGTTTTAAATCCTGATACACTATTAACAATATCCTCTGCCATCTTTTTTAAGATTCTCCCTCCCCTTTCACTTCCCCAGCGTACACTGTGCATTTTTGGGTCTCACCAAGACCCTTGGTTTTAAATGGGGCGGGGAAACCTGCTATTTACCTAAGTGGTTCTGAACCTTCCCTCTCCTGGACTTGATCTCCAGTTGTATTCCTTTACCTATTAAAGCCTGTCTTTCCAACCTATCCACAAATTCTGGTCTAGTTGCCCCTATTACTCTCTGGTTCTCTGTCACATAGAGCATATATTTGATTTTCAATCCATGTACTCCTTTTCATGTTAATTATATTTCCTAAAAATAGCATCTCAGTTCACCTTACCTCCTGATCTACTCTACGTGTGGTTCTTTTTTTTTTTTTAATATAGTGTATCAAGGCCATCTATATTAGAGATTATAACCAACCTTCTCTGCCTCATTTCTGTTACGCTCTTTTTTTGCCATCAGTTGTCTGCTTATCTTCATTCTGTTTTCTGCTCCATTCATTGAGGCCTCTCTGCCACTATTCCTGGAATCCTAGTACTTTTCTCTCTCTCTAGAATGCCCTGCAGTATTCTCTGTAGAGTTGGATTGGTGGTTGTGATTTTCCCAAGTTTCTCTTTGTCTTGGAAGCATCCTGTTTCTCCATTAATTTCTAGAGACAGTTTATCAGGGTATATCAATCTGGGCTGGAGGTTATTTTCTTTCAGAGTTTGGAATATTTTGCTCCAGGCTCTTCTTGACTTGATGGTTTGTGTTGAGAAGTCTGCTGTTATTCTGATGGGCCTTCCTTTATAGGTGATCTGTTTCTTGTCTCTCACAGCTTTTAATATTCTGTTCTTATATTGAATTTCTGGGATCTTGATTATTATATGCCTGGGTGTAGCTCTGTTTTTGTTGTAGGTGGCTGGAGTCCTGTATGCCTCATACATCTGAATATCATTTCCTTTTCCTACATTTGGGAAGTTTTCCTTAATTATTTCTGTGAATAGCCTTTGTAGTTTGTTTGTACCCCTGCTTCTTCCTTCACATTCTTTATTCTCAAGTTATAGATCCTCTTGTCATCTTCCAGCCTTTGTATTGTTACTGCTTGTTTCCTTGTTATTTTTAAAAGTTTTTCCTTTCATAATTCCACATTGCAAACCTGTCTTCCAGTTTGGCTAATCTATCCTTAGTTTCTTTCAAGCAGTTTTGCCATCTTTCCATAGAGTTTTTAATTTCCTGGTAATCTCTTTGAATCTGCTTGATATATTCTATATTTTCTTTTATTCTTCATCAAATGGTTCTCTCCTTTGAGTTCCTCCCTTTTTCCATCTGTGTCTTCTTGAGGGGTACTTAGCATCTGTTTTATTAATCTTCTTATATCTTGCTTTACTTGGCTAAATATTTCCCTTTGAACTCATCTATGAGGTCCCAAATATATGTCTTTATGTCCACTGGTGCTGTGTCTGATATTGCATGTTTGCTGTCCTCATTCTCCTTTGTATTTACCTGTCCTGGGTCAATGTTCTCAGGATTGAGATCTGGGGACTTTTTGTTGTTGCTTCCTCTTCCTATCTTTTTTGTTTCTTCCAGGAGGCCCCAGTTTCTTTCTTTGTTGGTTACAATTCTGAAGCACGCTGGCTAGGTGACCCTTACCCCTGCAGTGTGCTAGTGAGTTGCAGACAGGGGCAGTGTATGCTGGCCCCTCCTGTCCAGATCAGTCAAGCTGTTGAGGCCTTCACTGTATTACTGTGCACTGCCTCCCCTCCGGATCAGTCAACTTGCTAAATGCCTTCACTGCATTAGTGTGCACTGCCACCCGTAGGGAATTGATTTCAGATAACCTATTGGGTTTCAGCCAGGTTGCATGACCCAGGCCTAGCTCACTCTACCAATCCTGTTAGGGAATAGAACAACCGACTGAAGTCACTGCTGCCCCTTGTACTTGCCAGTCCTGCCCAGTCCCAGAATGTCCTCTGCTGGAGCCTCCCTTTCTGTGGAATGGCTCTACTCTCGTCACTCACCATAGGTCAGTGAAGGCTCCCCGCCAGCTCAGCTCTCCATTTGGCTGGCTGATCCCCGGCTTCAGTGTTAGCCTCCAGTGAGTTGAAGCGCTGGGACCTTGGATGGCTAGCAAGTCGCCTGCTGCAGCGGGATACTGAACCTTTAGCTGTTCCAATAATAGCACTGGGACTGTATGTTTGATTGGTTCTTCTCACCTGAGTTTCTTCTTGGGACAAGAGAATTCATCTCCCTCTGTTCGGGACTCCCCACAGTGTATTATGTTGAATTCCAAGTTGACTATCTCAGGGAGCTTCTGTAGCCAGCTGTTATCTGTCCGCCATTTTTGCTCGACTCCCCTTGTTTTTCTTTTCTGTGACTAGATTGCTCACACTTATGCCCATTTTCCGTGGACTCACTTGCCTCTTTGTTGTTGACTTGTGGGAATCTATGTACACCATTCTGTAATTCTCTGTCAGGTATATGCATAGTACACATAGCTTTGTCAGCCTGTTCTTTTCTTTTCTACTTTATTATGCTATGTTTTATGTAGATGTTTTGAATTTTTCAGGTCACATGTTTGTGTGTGTGTGTCTTAAGAGCCCTCTCCACCCTGTGACTTTGCTATAGTTTTTTCTTTGCTGTCATACATAACCAAAAAGGATCAGTAAGTGTGTAGCTGTTTTTAAAAAACCCCGGCAAGATGAACCCAGTAAGGGTTTGAACCCAGTAAGACTTGTCTCATCTGTTCCTCAGGCAGATGCCCGTCATCTTGCAGGTAGGGAAGTAGTGACAGAGTGACTTGTGGGAGGGTTTGTCACAGAAAGGCAAGCCCAGGTAGGAGCAGTCCGGAGGATCATCTGGAGATCAGCCAGAGGGTCTCTAAGGCTTGGCATTCTGCCGACGAATCTTCTAAAATGCTGTTGTATGAAGAAGAGGTTGTTTCCTTCTAAAGCCTGTTGCATTCCCCTAGTTAAGACCTCTAGCTAGACAAATGGGATTATTATGTTACAGTCATAATCTCAGGGTGTCTCGAACTATTCTTTTCCTTATAAAATGTTTATTTGTCATACTTTTTTCAGTCAGATTTTATTGGTACATTTTAGATATACATAATGATCACAGTCATAGAAAATTTGTACTTGTACCTGATATAGCTTGTTTTTCCCCCATTCCTTTCTTTCTCTTCAACCCTTCCTTCCCCTCCATTTCCAAAAGCTTTGTTTCCACATTTTCCTTTTTTTTTTACTTTTCCCTTCTTTCCTCTCCCCTTCCGTCTCCCTTGTCCCTCTCCCCATCCAAATATTTTTTTCCTGTTTGACAGTACTGTTATATATTATGGTCCTTAGTTACACTTTCGGTTTCTCACACCCAAGAAACAATGTCGTATTTACATGTGTGTCCATTTATTTCACTTAAGAGTATGGTCTTACGGTGCATCCGTTTTCCTAGAAATGGCTGAAGCATATCATTTTTTAATGGCAGAATAATACTCAGTTGTATTAAAAAAACCACATTTTCATCCATTCACCAGTAGATGGGCACCTGGGCTGTTTCCAAGGTTTGGCTATTACAAACTGTGCCGCTGTAAACGTAGCTGTGCATGTATTGCTGTGGTATGATGCTTTTAATTCTTTAGGGAAGATACCCAGAAAGAGAATGGCGGGAACTTCTTATCCTAGTTTTGTGAGGAATCCACATCGATTTCCACAGTGGTTGAACCAATCTGCACTCCCACCAACAGCAGAGAAAAATTTCTTTTTTCCCTACAGCCCCTCCAGCATTTGTTACTGGGTGATTTCTTGATAGTCATTTTTTCTGGGGTGCAGTAGAATCTCAGTGTTGTTTTAATTTGCGTCTCTCCAGTGATGAGCAGTGATGCTGAACATTATTTCATGTATTTATTTGCAGTTTGTACGCCCTCATCTAAGATGTGTGTGTTCATCTCAGATGCCCTTGTCATATTTCTTCTACAGGTCATGTAAAGCCTCTTTAAATGTGACGGCCTAGTGGCCATTTGCAGTCAAGTCTGGCTGATGGATTGCTCTGATGATAAAAAAAAATAACCAAGTATTTTCTGTCATAAAAATTGTAAACAGGATTTTTACTTTAGGTACACTAGATTTCCTTAAATTTTTGAGGTTTAATTTTTGTATATCCCCAAAGCATGTTTTATTTTTCTACCTAACATTAACGTATTGACCATGAAATACCTCTAGTAATGTCTTTTCAAATTTTTATTTGTTTTAGAAAATTAAACAGCACAAAAATAAGCAAACAGAAGACGGTCTTACCAAGGAATTGTTGAATTCTGTTCATCCAGAATCACCTGCCCGCAAAGCCTCCCTGTGTCTTAAAGAGCAGACTTTGCTACCCCTGAATGACACGCTCCGAACCATAGAGGGCAGCAACCCTACAGATAATCGCTACAGCGACTATGCGGAAGAGTTTTCCAAAGCGGAGCCTGCAGTGGTCAGCTTGGAGTGCGGCGTAGCGAGGATGACTTGTTAGACTCCGAGTGTTCTCCGGACTGGACTGTTGTGCAGAAGTAATTGTGAGGATGGTTTGTGCCATTGACCAAAAAGAACTTGTCTAATGGTAGCCTTGGGTTTAACAGTAGGTGAGTAGTTGAAAAGCGGGTAATAAATACTCTTGTGAGAGAAAAAAGTCGGGTTAATTACATTTCTGGACAGAAATGACATCAATTCTGTAGGAAATGACTGGTATTTGGTAAATTTACTCCAAAAACACTTTGCACTGTACACTAGTGAATTAACATTTGTATGTGACTTATGTTAATTACAGCCAAACATACACAGCTTTCTTTAATAGCAAGAAAGCAAACCTTGACAGACAAGATGATCCCTTAATTGACATGGCATGTACTTTGAATTATGTGACTGAGTAACTATGAATATTCACATATTTTTGCCTTTTAGTGATGTTGAATATTGAAGTGCCATGAAAAATATTTCCAAGAGAGCCTTAAAAGAAACTGTTTATCTTTACTCTTAAATTTTATATCATAGAACAGAATGCTTTGTTTGCTTCTCCTCGGCCAGCCTTGTTCCGTTGGTGAAGCATTGCGCGCCCTGCGCTGTAGGAGTCGCATGCCCCAGTGCTCCTGTGCAGGTGGTCGCAGAAGGACTCAGGGTAGCTCCTGCTTAGCTGGCTGCTGTCCACCTCAGAAGTAGTGTGGCTGAAGGTTTCATTCTGACTATGATTTGTTTAGTGCTACACGCGATGATTTATTATTACAGATCAGATTGTTCTATGTATAAGCACATTTGACTGTTTTACATATGGATTATAGCATTCTATTGATTCTTTCTTTGTGGTTGGTTTTAAGCCTTTAACAACTATGTAAGTTTAAAGAGCTAAACACTAAAACTGTAAGTAGAAACAACGAATAAATAGTGCACTCATTTTTTCCCTCTGCCTTATCTCTTAAAGAAATGCTATTCCCAGAATATTTATCTTTCATTGCACCCAAAAACTTTTGGGTGAAATAAAAAGGGATGTGTAGATAGTTTAGGTTTTGCTTGGTTGCATGAATTTTAAAGCAGTGCTTTCTATATGGAACATACATTTCTTCTCTTAAATATAGAAGAAATACAGGAAAACTAAGGAGAGCCTAGTTAATGTTTAACGAAAGCATCTTGAAGGCTGGGTCATTGTGTTATATTAACTGTTTACTCTTGTGTGCTAGCACATATCTTTAAAAAACAAAATGTCAACTGTATTTGGCAGTGTTACCCAAATGACTTTAAAATTGGAAGCGTAAGTAACATGGTGGCTCGAGGTACAATTCCAGGGTACTAGGAAGTTCACCTAGGATCCCTGTGTGTCTTTATTACACCTCTGTCTCTTATACTAGATGTGAACATACACATCTTTTTCAAATGAAAAATGCTTTATTGTAAGAGAGTTTATCTGATCCTGTTTATTTTTCCAGTGCATTTCTGTAATACCTTATATAATAAGAGAAGTCTGTCTTTTTTAAACAATAAGGAAAATCTACCATAAAATATTGTGTGGGATTAGCCAGTCCTGTTTCCCTATTTAAAGCCCTGGGAAAGGGAACGTAATGTCTGTGGCCACAAGGGTAAGCCTTTGTACCTTGGTTCTAAGCAGATTGTAGATTTGCAATTGTTCATGTCACTCTTCTACATTCAGCCTTTGGTTTATCATCATAATCTTCCACTTTAGACGCATAAATGTATTTATGTACTTGCATGTGGACTGAGAAATCAGACAACATCCTGAGTGACCTGTGGGGCGTATGTCAGCAAAAAGTGGATTGTGTTTGTCTGATAAAATGGAATTCATGTTCATCGTGTTTGGCAATGTATAGCATGTAAGTTATTTCATGTATTATTTAAAGGTAATTAAATGTTCCTATTTTACTTCGAATGTTTTTCTTTGGGGAAAAAAGTTCCAATTGTCCTTTTTTTTTCACCTAGTGAAATGGGTTTAGATATCACAGTATTGCAGCAGAACAAGTATTTAGCATTTCATTTCCAGTAGATTGGTAAATAGTTCCTCTTACAGATATGTTTAAAAACTCCAATAATATTTAAAGTAGGCATAGTCGGCTAAAAGACTCAGCAAATGTGTTAGGAATGGGCGAGGTGTTCTTTCGGCCCCTGCTGCAGGAGCCTGCATTGCAGCCAGGGCTCCGTGGTGCCCGTGCCCGTGCCCGTGCCCGTGTGGGAAGGCTGGGCCAGCGGTGCCCAGCTCTGAGGGCAGCGACTCTGGAGCATAGCTGGCTGCCATGAGGAGGAGAGTGGGGCCTGCTGGAGTAGGCCCGAGGCAGCAGGGCAAGCTTGAGTTCAAAAGAGGGGCTGTTGGTTTCCGCTGTGTGTTTGGCAGGCAAGTAGACAGGAATGTGATGTGTCGAGTCATCTATGAGTGTTTTTCTTGCCAAAAGTCAGCTTTTAATTAACTTATTTACTGCAGTCCTGGGGATTGAACCCAAGGCCATGTGCTTACACTGCTACTGAGCTACATCCCCAGGCCTTTTAAAATTTTTATTCTGAGGCAAGGGCTAGCTAAATTACCGAGGCTGACCTTGAACTGGTGATCTCCTGCCTCAGCCTCCCAAGTGTCTAGTATATTATTATACTCTGGAAACTGATGTCCTAGGAGGCTCCTGTGTTCAGAGGTAGCGCTCTGGAAAGGGAGCAGATCTGGGGAAAGGGAGCAATGCTGGGGCATTGAGCTAGTCCGTGGGCTGGTCAGTTGGTGAGCTTGGAGCTGAAGATGCTGTGAGAAGGTGGGCAGGGTGGGAGGAGGGGTCACTGGGGTGTGGCTCTGTCCCCAGCCCTTTACTCACTCTCCTCCTCACGTTCCCTTTCTGCTTCCCAGCTGCCATGCGTGAACAGCTTTGTGTACCATCCATGGGCTTCTTGGGGTTTCCGCCTTGGAGCCAGCTAACTGTGGTCCAAAACCATCAGAATAAGCAGTTCTCAGTAAATAGTGTCACTCATGTTATTTGTAGGAAAGTGAAATATCCTGTTGCACACCCTGAGATGTTTAAGGAGAGTGGCATGTGTAACGTATTTTAATATATTCCAACAAGGAGGGGAGTTGCCATAAAATGGGACTGGCAGAATGCCACTGATGATAACCATAGGTGAACAAATGAATGATCATTTTTGATCATTTGAGTATTTACATAGTCATCGTAAAAACAGAATTATTTGAATACTTTAACAAAATCCATGCCATGGGGTATAATGCAGCCATAAACAAGTGAGTGCATTCTAGTAATCTCCAAGTTTCATTGTGAAATAAAAGCAAAAAGACCCTTAGAGCAGTATAGACTTAAGAAAAAGGAAATATGTTTATGCATGCATATGCATAAGCACATATATTTCCAGAAAGTAGAAATGTAAACTAGAAACAGGAGTAGTGGAAAGAAATAGGAATGTAATAAAAGCAAGACTTCTGCATGTATCTTTTTAGGTAAGTTTGAATTTGGAACTGTTTTGCCTATTTTAAAATGCATGAAGTAAAAGAAATAAGCAAATCCTCACACTGAAAACAAAATCTCTGGGCTGGGGATTTAGCTCAGCGGCATAAGCACCTGCTTTGCAAGCAGGCAGTTGTGAATTCGATCCCCAGTACCGATAAAAAGGAAAAAGACAAAAAAAAAAAAAAAAAAAGAAAAGAAAACAAAATCTCAGTTGCAAATCAAATTAGTGATGTAACATTATTACAGATGACTTAAATATATTACTCTGAACTGCACATCCTCAGTAGGATATTCATATGGATGAAAACTTTGAGGAAATCTTATGTTCTACTCAGTATTCTTATTTTTATGTTTGTAGAACTGATTGTAGTTTATAAACCATGTCAGGCTCTGTAAAGATAATACAGCACTAATTGATAAGGCACCCTCCCCCATGTTTTCATACATGTACAGTCATTTGCATTTTTCTGTGAGTTGTCCAACTGTTGGCCAGTTACCTAATGAGCAGTTGCTATATTTCTCAAGCATTTATTTTATGGAATATTGACTCTGACATAGTTTGTAAATCTCCCATTGTGTCAGTTTCTTTGTATGCTTTTTGCTTGCAGGAGACTCAGTTTTAGAATCTTGTTAATCTTACTTTGCTTCGTAGGTAGACTTCTTCAAGCTTATAAAGGATTCACCCATGGTTTTCTAGTACTTAGGAGGTTTAATGCTTTATATTTGACTGTCTGACCTATGTAGAATTTGCCCTAGTATTTAAAGAGTTGAAGTTTTTTTTCTGAAGCCCTTTGAGAGTAAGATGCTTATGGGATGCCGTGTGTTCCTCATGGTTTTTCCTGTGCAGCCTCTGCAGGCGAAGGCATTTTTGTATAAACACGTAAGTAATGATGCAGGAAGCTAACACTACTGTATCTAATCGTCAGAGCCCATTCGGTTTCCACTTGGCTCAAATGACCTCTTTACTCCTTTTTTTTTTTTTGGTAGTACTGAAAATCGAATCCACTGTTACACCTCAGCCCCCTTTTGTCTTTATTTTTTATCTGAGACAGGATCTCACTGAGTGGCTAAGTTGTCCCTGTGGGAGACCAAAGGAGAACTGAGGCCTCATTGGCCTCTGGGAGCACAAAGGAAAAACAAATCCAGCTGAGGTCAGTTTGGTGACCTGGGCAGGTACTAATGGAAGGCAGGTGAATCTTGTGTTACTTTAAATGCTTGTACCCGGGGTAGGATAAAAAATTAGGATGAGCCAGACTCTCAGGACTCCTTGGCCTCCTAGAAGCAGGAGTCCCTGGCTGCCCACATGTTTGACTGACTGTCTTTCACACTTGTTAGTGCCTGGGTCAGGTGCTGAACTAGCAGGATGAGTTTCCTACAAGTGGTGCTTTGGGAGAGTAGAGACTGGAGTGGGCTGGTTCCCTACCAGGGGCATCTGGGCAGGAATCTGGGACCAGTGGGTAGACCAGTATCCTACGTGAGATTTGCAGTCCTGCCTCAGCCTCCCAGACTTTTGGGATCACAGGCGTGCAGCACCAGCCTCCTTTTTTTTTTTTTTTTTTAAATTCTAGACGCACATGTTTGGTTGTCAGGTCTTTAGCTTCTTCTATCAGGCACAGTTTGTCAATGTTAAAAAAAAAAAAAAAAGGTAAAGGTTCATTTCCTCGCATCCTCTTAGGTGAAATCAGATAATTCAGTTGAATGTGCTTGTGATCATGTTCCTTGATATGAAGTGATATATTCCAGACTTTCTTGCTGTAAAATTATTCATTTTCACTTAATAATACTTCAAGGGAAAGCACTAATCCTTTGTGTAAGTCCCTCTGTCCCTTTTCAGTTTCCATAGGCTGATAGTGGACGGTCGCCTTCTTGTAACAGTCTCTGACTTCCATCTCTCCTGCATCAGTGAGGTTACTCTGCTTCTTCCTCTCCCCCTTCTCGGTTTTGTCAGCTGTTATCTCTACTTTATCAGATCGTGTAAGCTTGCCAAACTGTTCCTCCATCCTCATCCCTGGTCTTGTTTAATCTTAAATTTATTACTGTCTTCAGTACTCAAAACCATCATGCCAGCATTTCTCCTACGGAAGCTGTTTCCTTCAGAATTCCTCAGAAGGGTCCATAGGTGCACTATTCTCTTACATCTTACATATTTAGAATGTCTTCTGTTTGATTCTTCAAGGAAAGCATAACTGGATACAAAATTGGTTACTTTACAGAGTCTCACTGTGTATTCAGACTGGGCTTCAACTTGCTCTGTAGCCCAGGCTGGCTTTGAACTCCAGGCAGTCTTCTTGCCTCAGCCTCCCGAATCCTGGGATTTCTGGTGTGATTATATTTTACCCTGTTTAATTTGAATGCTTTTTTTTTCTGTGTTGCCTAATCATTCTGACTAGCTCCTCTAGTGATATCCTGCATAGAAGTGGTAAAAGTAGGCAGGCATCCTTGTCTTAATTCCTAGAAGAAAAGCTTGTAGACTTTAACTGTTTACTATGGTGCTAGCTGTGGAGTTTCCACATGTAACTTTTAGTATACTGAGGAAGTTTCCTTCTATACCTAGTTTAGTGTTTTTTGTCAAGAAAGGGTGAATTTTGTCAGATGCTTTTTGTGCATCACGATGATTGTATGAATTTTGATCCTTTCTTGTTAATGTGGTGAATTACATTGGTTTTCATAAATGGAATTTGGTGGGGGGGTGCATACTGGGGATCCAACTCATGACATTGTGCTTGCCAGGCAGTCATGCTGCTGAGATAAATCCCTGTTCTCTGGTTTTCATATATGAACCACTCTTACATTTATGATTTACAAGGCAGAATACCTGAGGAATCTGGTGTGGAAGATTGCGAAGGGGCCGTTTGCATGCTGGTGATCCAAAGGTCTAGTGAGAAGTCAGGCCTGGAGCCCACTCCTCAGGCCCGTGTGAGTCCGTTTCAGGCAGCCAAAGGGTTTGCACTGGAAGCTGGAGACAGATGTCCATTGGGGACAGCAAAGACTAGAACTCCTCCAAAGAAACAGAAGTGAGGCTTCCTTCTTTCCCTTTTTATCCCACCCAGGCTGCAAGCCTATTGGTTGGTCCACCCACACCTGGGGTGGGTCTTTCCTCTTGAGTAAGTCAATCATCCAGACGTTTCTTGTTCAGGTTGACCCCACAGTTAACTATCACAGGAGGAGAGAAAAGCTTTCTCACTTTCATTATCTGAACCGTCATCCTTTGGCTCATCTTCAGGTGCTCTTTTATTGTGGTTTCCAAAAGTATGAAAATTAAACAGGCAGCCTGGGAAATTCAAGACTGCCTTCTGCATATAAGCATGTGGAATTGTCAAGGGAATGAAGTGGGACCTGTGTCACAGAGGTGGAAATGGGTGAGTGGGATGTTCTCAGACTGCCAGCTTGTTAGACATTAGAGGGTGTTCCTGTGCCAAAGTAGCAACC